GGATTTAGAAATAAGTGCCATATTCGAAACCTAAAACCGAAAATGCCATAAGCAAACATTAAAGAAAATAACTGTTAAAATAGATTAAAAAATCGCTTAAGAATGCTCCCCTTTTAAGAAAATAAAATATTTTAATATAAAATATTTCGCTTGAGTTACGAAAAGAAAGACATAGGTATAATAAGCTATCAAAGTTGTACTGGTGGTGCCAACACTATAGTAGAAACAAATATATAAGTACTGTAAATTTGTTGCAATATGTGCTCCAATTCAAATAAAATTAAAATAAATAATTATTCAATAAAGCATGAACGCAGAGCCGTTAAAAGTATTATAAAATAATTAAGTGTCCCAATCACTTACAGGAGTTAACGAAAACATTTAATGTTTATTCAAGTAAATATTAGTTCAAGATGCGCAAATAAATCTAAATTACAGGCACCACTAAAATTTACGTAATATAATTCTTTTGATACAGAATAGCAAAATGGGGAGAAAAAAAATTCGTTACTTTGCAACACTTTCGTATCTTGTTGCCGCGAAATTATTTTTCTGTTTTAGTGAATATTTACATAAAAATATGAGTTGAAACGCATTACTTACTTGTGGAATGCGATGTTAGTGTCTATTTTATGTTTGTCTGTTGTATTTTTACACCCATTTACCGCACATTTCGTCATTTTTAGCAAAAAATTTTGGAGCTGTTCGCGGTGCAATATGACCTTGAGCACTAACAGCCCGCGCGCTCCTGGGACGCGTTTGGAACCCTCTAACTTGCCTCACTTAGCGTGTGCGGGCTAGGTTTCTATGCGTTATAATTCTAAGCTTATATACATTTTTACATTCGTTTATACGACACTGAAACCCTTGAGGGGTTTAAAAGTGTGTCACGTCTGACAAATTTGACGTTGATAACAAATCTAATACTAAACTAAACACTAAACACTTACATTTACATTTAATACAAAAACATGAAATGACTCTAAAAATAGATAATAAATATTAAACAATATTAATAATAATACACAATTTATACCTAAAAGTAGTTGAAGGTAGATACAAATAACCACCAGCATAAATAAAAGAGACCGAATTCAGAAAGGCGAGAGCGAGCGAGATGGATGTTATTTCACAGTACCATCTTCGATTCTCGCAATCGCCTGCCCCTCACAACACGTTTGGTCGTATACAGGTTGATTTTTTTTTTCTTTCTATAAAAGATCTTTATCCTATTATTAAACTTTGTAGTTTGGAATTGCAGCCTTAAATCTGTAGGTAATTCGTTAAGTAATTTTGGTATGAGTAAATTAGCAAGCCTGGCTCCATAAAAATTAGTATATCTTGGTAAAATATATTTTTCGGAAGTCATAGCACGGGTAATTAATTTATGACTGATTTTATTAAGACTAATATTACTAGAAGCGTTGTTATTATATTGTTTTAGTATTATTAACTCAAATTGTTCGAAAATCGGTAATGTGTTGTAGTGATAGAAGAGTTCGATAGGACTGTTTTTATATTTATTAAGTATGAATGTGGGTGATATAATTTTGAGTAAAATTTCGTTCAAATAGGATTGAAATGTTCTTCCGTATATACTAAGGCCATATGATACCACTGAGTCCACCATAGTTTTATATAGAAGAATGAGTGTAGAAGTAGGCAAGCGATATTTGAGTATCTTAAACTTGGCGTAAAGAGACCTTAACTTGCTGCATACCAGATCGACATGACTTCTCCAATTAAAATACTTGTCGACTGTTAGGCCGACATATTTACATTCGGAAACCACAGGAATAGAGGGACAACTACAGTTAATTACGGGACTATGAAGACACGAATGCAAATGAGCAACTATATTTGGTACTTCTTGCGTTTTGTTGTGAGCAGAGTGAATATGCAGAAGATTGGTTTTATCTGCATTAATTATCAGGCCCATGTCATGAGACCACTTGCTTACGTTATTAAAGTCTGTTTGAAGATTTAGTTGAGCTTCTCTGAGGTCAGCATGGGCAGAAACAATAGCTGTATCGTCTGCAAATTGATACATAGTGCAGGTTTTAACCGCTGTGGCCATATCGTTTACATATATTATATATTCAATTGGACCAAGAATTGAGTCTTGAGCAGTTCCATATTTTACATCTGTTTTATCACTCTCAGTGTCTCCTATTTTTACAAATGTCTGCCTATTTCTATGGTAATCTTGAAGCAAATTTAGTAGCGGTCCTCTGATTCCACATTGTTGCAATTTATCGTGAAGTGTTTTATGTAAAAGGGTATCAAATGCTTTGCTATAGTCAATGAAACCTACTAAGACATGCTTTCTGTTGTTGAGATGCTCATTGATTTCATCGCTAAAGATGTCCAACATTTGGCTTGTACTTTTATTAGGTTGAAAACCAAATTGGTGAGGAGTTATGATATTATTTTTACAAAGATAGTTCTGAATTTGGTCTCCAATGAATTTCTCTAGCAATTTATTTATGCAAGACAAAATAGTGATAGGTCGGTAGTTTGAAAATAGCGCATGTTGTCCCTTTTTGTATATAGGTCGTATCATGCCCACCTTTAGTTTATCTGGATAGATACCTGAAGAGACACTTACATTGATTAAAGTTTTAATGGCAGGTACTATTTCAGTTGCAATCAATTTAACATCTCTACTGCGAATTAAGTCCGCACCAGGAGCTTTGTCTGTGTTTAGCTTCACAATTAATTTATTTACTTCTTTGTCTTTTGCTGTTTTTAGTCTTAAGCTTCTGTCTACAATATTAGGATTACTATTAATATTGAGGAGTGGTATTGTACAGTCAGTTTTAATCCTATCCACACAGCTACTAAATTCATTTGCAAAACTGTTGCCCACTTCATTAAAAGTTAATTGAGGAATATATCTTAATATGTGTTCCTCGATATAACAACGTAATTTACCGGTCATCTCATTAATTAGCTTCCATATTTTGCGTGTATCACCATTGCAACTCACGATTCTGGCTCTTATATTACTCTGCTTAGATTTATAAATTGCCTTATTAGTTTTATTTCGCAATTTATTGTAATTATGCCTATTAATTCATTCCTGACCATTTATAGTATTTTTTCTTATTGTTTCCGGAAACTTATAGTGCGCTGCACGTAAGTATTATGAGCCTACGAAATTATAGTTTTCAAATTTTTCACGAATTTTTTCGGAAAAATTGAAATTATTCGGAAAATTACCCAACTGTATTGTGATTAGTATTGGGTCATGGAAAAATTTCTATTTTGAAAAACACATATTTTTCAGAAAAATAAATATTTTTCCAATATTTTTCTTTTATTTTTCCACATTTAACCTTGACACCTTTCAGAAGTTGAAGATAATGAACGAAAACTATTGGGTCAACAACGGGTAATAGTGGTGTGGTCATTGTGAGTATAGTGTTCTGTGGGTGTGATTATTGGAGGTTATTTCGCAGTTGTGAAATATATTATCTCCTTAACTTATCTAAATTGAATAATCTACGTACGTACAAGCTTACAATGTACCTATTTAAATTTCATTGTAAGTGTAGCTTTTCTACACCCTTAAAGGTATCACATGTATGTACAGGGTCAAGAGCACGTCAAGCTTGACACTATCCAACTCTATGCTGCTTACGATGACGACGGACCTAAGTACATAGTGTCAATAGTTGGAAGTTTAATTTGTTTCTATCATCCATGTGAAATGCAAATAAATGAATATGAATTTAAAATTTCATTTTTCTTTATGTGGCTTTTAGCTAGACAAATTTATTTTATAATTCACGTTAAATAAAACTTCAAACGATATTTATAAACGTAGAACATAATTTGAGACTTCGAAAATAAATATTTCCAGTTTATAAAATTCTTTCAAATATTCGAAAATTTTTCCGGAAAAATTTCCACTATTTGAAATTTTTCGAATAATTATCGAACAGTAATAATTATTGTGAAATTTATTAGCCATCTATGGTCAATTGTACGTATATATGCGATGTTTACACTGTTGCCAGAGTAGGCGGTTTTTCGCCATTTAGGCTACGACTCGGCGATGTTTAGGCTATGTTTGAAATAGGAAAAGGCGATTCTAGGCTTCTTAATAAAATGTCTGGGGAATTACAAATTTTATTGGGGATTTTGTGGGGAATGGAATTGTAAACTAACTCAGGGGTTTACATTGACTTACAAATAAATGGACGACGGGTCTAATACAAAACCACGAAAAAAATGTCCTAAGTCAACCTATTTAAACGTAGTGACATGCAAAGGAATATGAAAAAGCTAAAACATTGAATTTAAATTGTAATGTCATCGCAGTACTGTCTAATTTTGCTTGCTTCGCTGTCAGTCGAACAAACGAAGACTAAAGTGTGAATGACGCTCTGTATACGATTTTAACGCCCTGTAAGTTCGGACACTTTTTAGCGCGGACGCGACGTCCATATAATTATAAGTCAATGGGGGTTTAAGTATTTCTACGTGTGGGGTAATTGGGGAAATAAGAAAGTTCATATTCTCCAATGTCTGGCAGCAGTCTGTTTTTCTTGATTTTTAAGAATTTTGTGGCTTGGGCGAATAACGGCTACTTAACACACATAAATTGGCGAATTAACTTCGCAAAAGTCTGGCAATACTAGTCGCATCTGTCACTGTCAATCAATTCTGTATGCAGTCGACGTGAGAAGCGATGCAATGGGAATTTTAAAAATTATATAATATATTGAAACGTTTATTTCACTTCAAGGTATTTATTAAATCGTGCTATATCTCAAGACGCTAAGTTATAGAATTATAAGTGTCTTAACTAGCTACTATGGTTTTAGCTTTTTGTTTCATATTTGCTACTTACATCTTTCCTAACAATTTGACGACCTTTTGTTTCATTTTTTCCTTATCTAGCGAAATGTGCAATCATAAAATCAATCTTTTTAAAATTGAAATTTAGTACAACTGTGCAGTCAGGAACATTTAAAGTTTTTTTTCTATTGCAGACTTCCACTGTTTGAAGATGGCAGACCCACGTCCAATATTCGAATATAATGAAGAATCTCAAGCAGACAAGTTTGCCAGGAAATCCAAAGATTCGCCGTTCATGATAGTAGGTAAGCAACATTTATAGTGAGACATATTTGTAAAATGAAACACTAGGATTGACCCATAGCACATTAGTATTTTAGGAGAATACACTTTGGCCACATTTGCGCGGAAACAGAGCTGAGATAATCTATGCTGATGGCTTAGAATTGTTAAGATAAATCTGCTCTTTGCTTGCAAAAATACTTAATTTTAGAAATATACCAGTTCAATTATTTTCTTTAATTTCGCCCCTTAGTAAAAAGTTATTAGAGTATGTAATTATATTAAAAAATAATAACAATAATAAAATAAAAAAAATAACAAAAATACTTATTTTTAAAGTTGTTATTTTAAAGTATGATTCTAGACCCCTGACCAAGGCTCGTAGCCAATGACAAAGTTGTTGCTTTTTGTTGCATTGTTGAAGCCTGTACATATTTATAATAGCGGCCCAATATCATCAACATTAATAGAATTTTTCTTCCATATGCAATGTTAGTGAAAGAGTAGTATAAAAAAAATTTTATGTATATTTATGGTGTCACAGTACATTTATAAAAATGTTATTTATTTTAGGGATTTATAAGATATTAAAATTTTTTTTTATTCTACCAATTTGGTACTTGGTGCAACGGGCTGGTATCCGCAACTTGACGACAAAGCACCTATTTTGCGTGTGGTGGGTGCAGGGTCCTACTTGTGCCACCCAAGCTCCTCCAGGAATCTCAGCAGCCTCCTTGGTTTGCTGAAGACTTCGGGGAGCGACCTTGGCACTCCAAGGTACTTTGCCCTTTAGTTGGCCACGCCGGAGCACTGAAGTAGGATGTGCGCAGCCGTTTCCTCCCCTCCATGCACGCTCTGCATAGAGGGCTGTCTGTGATACCTAAATTGAAAAGGTGTTTATTGTATGGACCATGACCCGTTAGGGCAGCAGTTAGAGTGCGAAGCTCTTGCCTTTTAAGTTTAATTAGCATTCGAGATAAACTGGCATTGAGCGTTGGGAGTGCTTCCCTCGCCTGTCTACAAACCGTAAGGGTGGTCCATGTATTATTATGTGAAGATTTTGTACCTTTGTGTATAGTTGTTCTGGACCATTGGCAGGGGAGGGACACTATCGGTTCTGGTCCTACAGCATCCGTTTCCGACCCTTTCCTGGCTAGTTCATCTGCTGCATCATTGCCACTTGAGCCGCTGTGTCCTTTAATCCACTGAAGAGTTACGTGGTTTTGTATACATACCTCCATGAGTCCCAGGTTCGATTCCCGGGCCGGGAGAAATATTTGTATGACATACATTTATTTCACATTATCTTCAAGCAACATTTAATACCTCCACTTACATATTTATTCAACCAGTGCTTTTTAAAAGGAATATTTCCCCATATTTTAAAAAAGGCCCTTATCAGACCGGTCCATAAAAATGGAGATAAGAGTTGCTTTAATAACTATCGCCCCATTGCCATACTACCGTCTATTTCTAAAATCCTAGAAAGACTTATCTATAACAGGCTAATAAAGTACTTCGAAAAGAACAGACTACTGGCACCTACACAATACGGCTTCAGAACTAACAAATCGACTGATGATGCAGTGCATGAGCTAACAGACTACATTGTAAGAAACACAGACTCAAAAAAAAAGTGCTTAGCTATATTCCTAGACCTCGCAAAGGCTTTTGATACAGTCTCAATTCCAATTCTCCTTGAAAAATTATACAGCTTAGGAATAAGAGGACATGCACATAATCTTCTAAGAAGTTATTTAACTGACAGGACTCAACGCGTTAAAATAGGTGACATTGTAAGTGAGGAACTAACCGTCGAATATGGCATCCCGCAAGGCAGCATCGTAGGACCATTGCTTTTCCTCATTTTTATTAATGATTTATGCCTCATCCCCCTACCAAACAATAGTAAAATAGTATCTTATGCTTACGACACTGCTTTATTGTTTAGTGCTGAAAATTGGACTGACACTTTCACATTAGCCCAAGCGGGCTTTGACATTGTCAATAATTGGCTTAAAAAAAACTTACTGACCCTAAATACCGAAGAAACTAAATACATGACGTTTTCCTATAACTCACTCACCCAACCGACTTTAAATTCATGTACAATATTAGCTCATAACTGTTTTGGCTCGCTATCGGAAAGTACTTGTAAATGCCCTCAACTAAGCAGAACAAACACCATTAAATATTTAGGTATAACAATTGATAAGTATTTAAATTTCAAGGCCCATATCGAAAGTCTTACAGCTAGAGCACGAAAATTAATATATATTTTCAAAAAAAGACATGTCGCTAATGAAAAGCTACTGAAAACTGTATATTTATCACTTTGTCAATCACTGTTTGTATACTGCATAACGACTTGGGGAGGCTCCCATAAAAATACTTTACTAAATTTAGAAAGAGCATAAAGAGCCATTCTGAAAGTTAGCACTTTCCGACCTTTTCGCTTTCCCACAGCAGAACTCCTTGCTAAATGTGATGTACTTTCAATACGCCAGCTATTCATACTACCATGGACCAATAACTCAAGAGGACTGCTAATCGTCATACAAGACAGCGTAGCCGGGTATTTAGTACCTATTGGTACACTAGATGTCGCGACGATTACCAAATAGCTATTTTGTAACGTTATTTTACATTGACACATTGATTCTATCAAATCTGCTTCTAGTGATAACAAACACGTCAACTAGATGGCGCTATATTTTACCTCAAAATGGATATGCACCTGGAGTCGTATATAAATACATTGTAAAAAAAAACAATCGCAACTCACAACGTTTCCATCCTCTAAATAATAACTAGAACACTACTTTGTCTATTCTAATGCCATTTAGACATATTGATAGTTTAGCTTAAAATTATTCATATTTCAATGTTACTGGGTGTAAGAAGCGAGAAAAAACAATGGCTACGGTGATTTTAGGCTGAGAACACCGAACGTGCGAAATAATATTTTTTAATTTTATTTGTAATTCCAAGAAGTATGATATCGCAGATATTGCATTTGTCCCAAAGGGTCATATCGGAACGCCACACAGTGGGCCCAAATTGATAATTCTTGGACATAGGAATAACTTGTAGAGTATCGAGCAAATTTTTTTTATGTGACATATAATAACATTCCTAACAACTTTTATTCTTGTATGATTTCTTGAAAAGTTGATAGATTCAGAGAAAAAAAAATTTTTGTATGGACAAATATACATTTTATTTTTTATCTCAAAATATACGAAAATCTAATGTGCGTGGGTTACTTACAGTATAGTTCCCATCATTTTCTATGTAGAAAAAAATAATCCGTCTGCATGT